TTCATAATTAAAGTGTGTCGACTCCCTCGTTAATTACCAAATTCCTCACATGTCGTCATCTTAACGTTATTCCCTCGAGAAAAAAATACAAATCTGATACTCGTTTACATGGAATATTTTACACTTAGTTTTCACGCAGAGAAATTTTCTATTTCGTAAACATTTTGAGACACTAAAAGTACACAAACGTTGAAATTTTCTATTATCAATTTAAAATTTCCTACACAAAGAAAGTATCTAATATACATATGTACATGAGAAAGGATGTGATCTGAGAAAGAAAAGAAAAATATTATTTCAAATATTCGGAGGATTATACGCCAGCCACGGTTTAGTTTCTGACAACAATAACCCTTATCCCCAAAATCTCGGTGAAGACAGCACTTCAACGGAGTAGGGCAGGAGGGAATCTTGAGGACCTCTACATACACCAAAGTGCACTAAATAAGGGTGGCAACAACTGCGCGTGAAGCACACTTTGACAATTATGGTAATAACAACCCAACGAACTTTTTTTTTTCTGTAACACAATAATTTTATACACGCTTACTCACACGTATCTCGAAAAAGGTCATATTGTACTGTAATTCTAAATTTATGAAGTGTATACTTTTTCAAAAAAGAAATTTTTACCTAATAACATTTAACCCTCGAAATCGCGTTCTACTTATTCTATTAACAGGTTTTATTATGTATTTGTGTTGCTATCACTTATCACATTTATTGGTTTTAACCATTCGGCCTTTCACTTCCTAAGCAGTAAATATTCCATGTCATCCTTTCCCATTACTCATAATAATAACACCGAAATAACCACTACTCTCCTTCCTACCGAACCGTTTCCCCCCGAAAAGTAGGTTTTGTCGAGCAGCCTTTACAGGACTTTGAATAAATAATCGATTGTAGGAGATTACCTAGTTTTTCGCCTAAGCTCCATTAGCTCTCCTATCACGAAGCTATTGGATATAATAAGTCGAACGTTAGGAAATAAACTCTGGGGAATACAATATTTGCTATGCTTCTAAGAAATGCGTACTTTTTTTTTGTATTGCATTAAAAGTCTCCTTGCGATAAACCTATAGAAGACATAAATTTCGCTCGCAAATTTGTACAGAAAAATATGAAAATCGTGTGTCACCTGCAGCAACACTATTGGTAGCCTGGAAATACTCAGAAACCTGATTACTGCTGCATGTGAAGAAATTTGGAATACACCAGGGATTCTTGAACGTCTTCGACAGTCTTTGAAATGGCGATTAGAAGCATTTTCAGCAATTTCTTTAATTAAGTTTTAAACATTTCTGCAATACTCCATCGTGACAGAAAAGTGTCTATATCTCGGAAGGGAAGAGTTTTTGGACAAGGAGGGATAGAATAGCCATGGCAAGGCTCAGAACAGGTAATTGCAGACTCTGATGAAAAAACCGACCGTCTATCTTGTAACTTATCCAATCAACCCTTATCAACTAACCACTTTCTATTCGAATACGAGAGATTACAGTTCCCAAGACGGAAGGATGAGGTAAAACAACACACGGCCTTGACGTCGCAAAGGCATATGAGAACCACTCTAAAGTATCTAAAGGAAACCGAAATTTGCAATAAAATATAACCACCAAGAAAAGAAGAAAAGTTATTAAGAAAAAGGGAAATATAAGAAAATAAGAAAATAACTAGACCAAGTCGTCACTAATGATCGAGAGGTCGGTGCGACATAGAACCCACATATAAAAAAAAAAGAGTTTTCGGACGTATGTTTATATGACCCTTTATCATCCTTAGGAACAGTAGAATACACGGTACCAAAGTTTAGCCACCTATTTCCTTGTCACCCTATTTAACTAATTTAACATCGATCCAAACGTATTGATCAATAAAGAATTACACAAGGTTTTACTTAATTTTTCACGATACCACAGCACGATCGTTACAGCGTTAATAACGTAAAATACATGTTTTCATCTTAACTATCGTTAACTAGAAGTATTAAATGAAATAAAAATATATCATACCCAAGACCATTGACGAAAAACTTTTCCGTAATATAGTCCTTGCAGTTTGAATTCTCGAAGGCAAGATAGAATTTGTAGTCTTCGTCAAGCATATCGAAACACGCTTGAGATTGCGAACGTGGGCACCTCAGAGTACCGCAAGTCCCATAAATGTCCACTTGTATGTATTTCGATAATTCTTTAGCGTAATTCATCCGTTGGTTTCGTGGATGACAATTAGAAACGAACCAAGCCACCTGGAACAAATGCAAATTTAGGAAATTGTATTATTCAGCAATTTTTCTTAATAATGACGTTTTACAACACGTTGAAGCTAATTTTTTATATTTATATACAGGGTGTTCCGTGCAAAGCGACGCACGATTTTTCAGCCATTTAAAGCCATGTGTCAAAAATAGTTTTAAATAAATATTTATGGGTATGGAGTGTACAACAAGTGACGACAATAAAAATTTCGAAAATAGTTTGTTCTGATAGCAAAATCAAGGTCATCTTGAGTTTTTCAAGTGGGACCAAATATTTTATTTTTTTATAGTAAAGATAGAAATATTTAACAGACGGAACAGGATTGTTCCACCATTTCAGTGACTCCCCCCATATGACAATAAATACAAATTAAAAATCACTCTTTCAACAAAAGTAGATTATTGTAAACGCTACTTTGCCACGAGTTGCCATATCTGACGTTCCAAAATTTAATAAAAAAGACCTACGTAGAATATCGAATATTTAAAAAATTGTACAACAGAGAGCTTTATATTTAAGATAATTTCAATGCAAAATATGCAAACAAAAATATGTCTCTCCTTTGTCTGCATTTTTCAAACAAATCTAACTAAGTTACCAAAATTAATTCAATTATTACGTGCGACGTTCAAGTCACTTAACAAGCATTAATGTACAAGCAAAAGCAACGTACGAGTACGTCTGATATTTTTGTGTAATACATTCGAGAAGCTGAGGAAATGAGAACGTCGTTACCTTTTTCGTCTTATTGGCTGCGTAATTAAAAGTCTGTGGTATTTGTGTGATGCTAGGATCGTAATATTGCCACCTTTCATAGGGCGCGACTATATCGCTGTCACGACGATAAGTAGCCGTCCAATTGATGATAGCGTTCTTCACGCTCTGCGTGTGATAAGGGCACTCTAAAAAATACAGCATCCACACCTGCTGAAAATCGTATCAGTCTCATTCGACGTGTATAGTTAAATTTTCTTCCGCGGCGAATGGATATAATGTTCGTGATTTCTACAAAAGAACGTTTTCCACTCGGAATCTTTCATATTTTCGTTTATTTTACGCGTGTTAACCATCGGACAGCGGATTGAGCGACAGTCGCACGCATGGCGGATGACGGGTCAAATATGACCCGACACTAAAATCTTCTTCGTATGCAAGATCAAACGGAGGAGAGTCGCGACTCTACATGAACGCCATTTAACCCCTTAACAGCCATCTCTGTAATATTACGTTTCTTTCGTACAGTCTCAAAATTCCACCTGCGCAACATTACTTTCGATAGAAACGTAACTTTTAGGACATTAGAATTTTATTAAGAATTTTATTAGAATTTTCTTGTTTTTCTTTTTCATTTTTTTCTACCACGTACGAACTTAATATTACGTAAGTAAGCTGGATTTAACATGTGTAATTTCTTATTATAAGTACAAAAAGGAAAGCTTTTTCGAAAAATTGTGTTTCATCCAAAATTATAAACATTTATATAGTAAAATAGAAAACTAAAAAAAGGGTAATTTTTGCACGTTTTTCTAAAATTCAGTGAGATGTTAAGGGGTCAAAACGAGAGACATCTATGAGACGGGTCACCTGTGACCCGGCATCCGTCTTCCGAAGGTTAAGTGTAGCTGTAAAGTGATTCAATTGCCTGTGAATTGAAGTATTTAATGCAAAAATTGTTTACAATATTTTTAATCATTTTTAGTAAATAAGTTAATAAAATGAAAATATTGCAATGCTACTCTTTCGTCGCAGAGTAAATTTACAGCACGAATTACGATACACAAAAGGTATTTATCATTTACCTTTTCATTTATCTTATCGCTAACGAAAATCTCGCAGAACTTCTTTCGAAAAGTCAATCATTCCACAAAATAAAATACTGTATACAACATGGTTTTCGTAATTAATTAACGCTTTCACAACAAACTGTGCTACTGTAATGCTTCATAAATGAAAATTGCCATCTGCAAAGTGCAGTTGCAACGATCATCATATAAGAAGCAATATGCACATTGATATTGAAAGTACAAGAGTATTCTAATCGCGTAACAAGTTTTCCTTGAGGATTGTGTCATACTAATTCCTATTCGCAAAATTGTTTAATTATGCAAATCACAGGATTCAACAAGTCATTAGTTTTTCATAGGCTAACTTCTTATCGTAACTTTGTAAGTTTCATCGGTTAACATTCTTTTATAGGGATTGATTCGTTTGCGAAGCGATTAAACTGAAAATTGAAATTTTACGTAAAAAAGAGTATAAAATTATATCAAAGACAAATACTAAAAAAATACGTATCAGAAAATATTACGCGATAATACTAAAGATAAATACCGAAAAATACGTATTTCTTTCTTTCTGCATTAAACAGACAAGTTTATTGGACTTTGCTTCACTTTGCTTGGTATTGCTTCAATTTGGTCAATTTTATTAAATCTCAAATATCAGTTTAATCGAAGAATTAAGAACTTCGTATCACATACTTGGTTCGGAGATCTTCTTCCCACGTGCGTTATGTAATCTTTAAAAAGGATTAGATCAGCATCTTCAGGGTTGTCCCTAACAATCGTACATGTATTTACTGGGCAGCGAAGCTGAAGAAATATGTCGGGACCAACTTTTGCCTCAGGCATACCATGTGGTACCATTATTTTTTTCAACTGATGTTCGGCACTGGTTTTGTTATAATCAGTAGGCATGAACATCAACTGCAAAATTCATACGATATAAATTAATGTAATTGTCGAATGAAATTGCTAAAATAGAAGTGTAGAAAAATTACAGAATCCATTATTTTTTATTATTAGACAGAACATATGGTATGATTTAAATTACATTTCCTCGCCAAAATTAGCGTCATATGTCAACGAAAATATACAGGGTGTTCGTGCTATTAGTTTTCAACGTTTTTCTCCTAAATGGTAGATTTGTGAGACAAGTAGAGGTGGACAAAGTTTCGTTATTTTTAGTCCATTCAAGTTTCAAATTATCTGCTTCGAAAATTACAATTTGTACGTTTAAAATTCAAGGAAATTTGTTATTACGGTAATTCGGAAATTACTCAAAATTGACAAAATACAATGTGTACAGTACATGAGAAAATGATTTCTACTGAAACATTATAATAAAGTTAAAATATCTTATACAATAGTATTCTAATTAAACGTAAATATGTACCTTTCGAATTCTGTACGCTTGTATTCCGAAAACAATAGATAATAATGCTATACTCGTGTATAATGGACTGCATTGTGTTGTAGAAGAAAGGGTGAAAAGCAAGGTCTACAGGTATGCACAATTTGAAAGAAAATGTGGAGTACAATGTTCCTATTTTCGGTTAGTGAATTAGAACAAAGTCCCTAACTAGGCAATTCTTTCCAAACGGCAAACCGCAAGGCAGTTCTTTATTTGAAAGATAAACTTACAGCAACGACAATTCTTATTCAAGTAAACGTTGAACGTTTAATACGAAAATTAATTGAAGAGTTAGTGTCAATTTGATACAATGAAACATTTTGATGCGAAACATGGAAGTGAAAGTGTTGGTAAAAATTCGAAACTACGATGAAATCATTTTTCAATCCCTAGAAAGTAAGACGAGGATTAACATAAAATTTCAGACAAGAACGTTAAAAAGTAAGCAACTTTTATTTGAAATATTTTTTAAGCATCACTTCTGAAGTTGCAAGTGTTGCAAATATAGAGTAGGATGACTTGGTTATGTCAGAAATTCGAAAAACTGAGATGGAGAAAGTGTTTGACAACGAAAAGTTTAATGAAAGCTCGTTCGTTTGAAATATTGCAAGCACAGAGAATATCATTTCCCATGATTGGGAACGCCTAAACTTCAATAATTTAAAAAAACATAAAAACATTAATATTATTTCTTCTCTTTTAGAATTTATTTAATAATAAAATATGAGACTAATTTTTAGA